GTTGTAGCTGTAAGGCCAAAGTCTTGGCAGACTTTTTTCTGCAGTCTTGTTCCAGAGTCCTTTCAAAGTGCTCAGCTATGGTCATGAACACAGTCTGATGGTCTCCTACCCTATTTTCTGCCTTTTTACCAATCTACAATTCTCAGGAGATAATCCATTTACAAAAAGGGTAGCTGAAGCAATTGGGTGACCTCATTTATCATATAGAACCCAGAATACCATGGAAAGAGAACTTCCAGATGGACTTTAAAGTCTGCCACAGATTCATCTTTCTTTTGTTTCCATGTTTGAATAATAGACCAGTCAATACAGACAGGAAAAATGCTAGGAATGTCTTCTTAAAAGATAAGTTGCTATTTTGCAAGCTGTTTCTGGTCTATGAGGAGAACATGTTAAAGCCTGAGGATCGTGGATACCACCTTGGGGTTATTCCATCCTGTTTCCTGCATCCATTTTCAGGCTTCAGCAGGCCCAACCAACATATGCACAAGCCAATGAAGAACTCTCAGTCTTTGGTCATAGGCCCCAATAATGACTCTAAATTCTTAGAAAACTTTTGGGGATCTGGCCTGTTTAGGAAATTCTTTTAACTATGGCCCTTAGTTTGGTATGACCAAACTGCAGAAGATACCTGAGAAGAATTTCCAGCAACTTCAGGTGGTTTTATTTTAAAAGGTAGTGTTTTAATGGTATCTCTAGAGTAGCAATAAAAGAAATTCAGATAGTAGATTAATAGAATGTGAGTACTCAGGTAAAGAAGGATAGAGGAGAGTGGTAGGGGTCACATCAGTTTTATTGTATTTTGTTTTAGGTACCTCTTGTGCCTTTTTCACTAGCCTTTTGCAACAGATTTTTTTAATGAAGCAATTTGGAATCTTGAAGCATTTTTGGAAGCTTTCACGTGCTGATTAAAACAGGTATCCATCCAGTTCTGTTTAATTTAGGGAACCCTTGCTTTCTAGTATACTTCTTAAATGAACAATCTTGTTTAGTTGTAATATTCCTTATAATGGCCATTGTAATTCTAGGTTATCTTTAAGAAGATTTTGCCATTTTTGTAGCTATTTATAGTTTACAAGACTATAGTTCTTACCCAAGATAAGCAGGTGTGCCATAAGGTGACACACTTCACTTTTTAGAATTTAAGGATTCCCCCACCTTTTTTTTAGTTAAGCCTTTGAGTCTATCAAAGCCAAACTAATTCCTAAAGGGAATGTGCCACTGGTTTGGGATTGTGTTGTGTTTTATAGTGTACCTCATTGCCCAGAAAGTTTCTTGAGGTTGGTAATAACCTAGTGTCAGTCTAATCCACTTCACCAACATGGCCCACAGACATGTCTGAGTTAGGTGGTGAGTACGTGAACAGCTAGAAGTGCTCGACCTGGGCCCACCAATTTTTGCAGCTTTTTGATTGCTGAGATCAATCACTATTAACAATAACTTTTATAAAAAACAAGACAGACAGACACATGCACCTTAATATATCAGCAGTAATCAAGAAATGTTGCTGCATCCTGGCCCTAACTGTACCACCAACAGTGCCCACCATGGAACCTTGTACTGGGGAAAGGCTTGAACCAGCAGACTTCAACAAATGACCACAGACTGGGAGCTCCACTAAGTGGGGGAACTACAAACTGCCACTAACAGTTCTCACATGGATCTTGGGGCAGAGTCAAGGGTTGGGGGTTTCAACCAGTTAATGAGAATTGCAGGCTACCAGCAGCTCCTAACTTGGAACTGGCTGGAAAGTCACTTAGATCAGCATCATGGTGAAAAGAGAGTGAAGCTCAGACTCAAGAGGAACCTACCCATGGTTTACAGAAATGGCAGGAAGGACTAATTCAAAAGGGTTATTAGTAGGTACCATATCTGTGTTTCTTGTCCTCACATGCTTTCAGAAGTTTGCTTCAGGTCCCATCGATGCTGCTGTATGTGTTTAGAACAAAATTCAACAGAGTAAATTTAAAGGTGAGGTTGGCTGCATTTAGCAATTCATGAATCAGGCAGCATCCCATCGAACAAATAGAAAGGAGCTTTGACAAACTGTGCCAAATGGGAGACTTACAGGCAGAGGGGGACAGAGACCAGGAAATAATGGATTACCTTAACTTTCTCTTGAGGTGGAAAGGGTCTATCAGGTGGGTTACTTCACTGCTGCTGACCAGGAAATTCCAGATTGACTGCTTTAAGATTACATTCCTGGGAGGGTTGAAACTGCAGTTAGGTTAGGTATTAAATCTTGGTTTGTTGACATAGGGCTTAGCACAAGGGCCTCCATTTTGGACATACCTCTTAACTGTTTTTAGTTGGGGTTAATATTCATAATGCTAAAATGAAGATTTTTGTGTATACCTTTTTGGTGAGTGTATGGTTTTTTGTTAATATGCTAATTAACCCCTGAAACATTCGTTGTCAGTTAATAAACCAATTTATATTAAGAAATACCAGTAATCTATTAATTCTCTATCCCTTATGCTCATCTAGTTAATGACAGGGGGAATGTAATGAGTTTTGTTTTAGTAGGCAATTAAATTACTGGCAGATAACCTTGAACTTGTGGAGGATATATTCTGTGCTTTGTTAGAGTGGGTCTCTTTCAGTTTTACCCCTTGTCTTAGTCCTGGGACATAGTGTTTGAAAAAAAGACATGGCCTTTCTGAGTTTAATCATAAGCACAAGGTGCTTTACCAAGCCTCTCTAATTCTGTAGAACTCTAAACTCAGTCTCTCTGGTAACAAGCCAACAAGCTGCTGTACTCTCTTCTAAGTTCTTTCAGCCTTGTCAGCTATTATTTCAGAGCCTTGCCTGTTCACGTGCAGTTCCAAAGTTATTTGCTCTGTGGATTTCACTTTCTTTTCACTATTTCCTCCTCTAAATTTCCAGCTGCTCCTGCAATCCTAAACTCCATCTCCAGATTCTTTGTGCTGATAAAGACTATGGCTTTCTGCTTGAGTTCTTGATGGGCCTACCTGTCTGGACTAGAGAGTACCTTCAGGGGAGAAACGTAACTTGATTGTAATACAGTGTGGTTCCCTTCTTTCAAAGGTTGAATCCTCTACAGTTTCTTTCCTTCTTATGGTCACTGATCTCTGGTCCCTTCAAACAGTTGTTTTTTGCTGTTTTGTCCAGAGTTTATAATCATTATATAATCGTCAGGCAGGTAAATCTGCTATTCAAAGCGGAACCTCTTGAGAATTGAGGAAAAAAAGTCTAAAAAGCACAAATTACGTTTTGTGAAGATTGAAAAGAGGTTATATATAGTTGCAACAGGGAAGGGTATGAAAGATTTCATGGAAGAGATTGGTAGTCCCTGTGAACTACAAGAGGTGGTTGGGAGGGACTTCGATATCTGAGATAGTGGTCTCCCACTGTATTCCAAAAGGAGGGAACAAATGGAGTCGGTAGGAATGTACAGGTTACACTTAGAGGAACACTTAGCACTCATATAACTAGTTGGTTACTTCCAAGGGACTACGTGAAAAGATGACTGGAAAGTGGATTCTAATAATATTGTAGAAGTACTTAAATGCCAGGATAGGCAATTCAAATTAATTTTGTATACAGTGGAAACTTAAGTTTTTGATTTGGACAATAAGTTTGGGAGTTGAACTTCAGGGAGATTAAATCTAGCAGCATGGTGAAGGGCAGATTGGAGTAAGAAAGAAGGCAGAAAGATTAGTTAGGACAGTATTATAGTAGTTTGGGAGAGAATAAAAAAGGGTGAAAATTGGTGGTGATATGTAGAAAAAGAACTGCAAAATGCAGGAGATGAATGAGATGGGTGGAAACTGAGCAGGTGGAAAAATGGTGGCTTATTGGTACAAGTTGTTACTATTTCATCTGTGTATGTATTTCTTAATAAGTAAAGTGAGGATAACAATAAAGGCTATACCACCTTTGCAGGAAATTGAGCTCCCAGCTCCTGAGTATTTCTTAGAGTTTTTCTATATTGTTTCTTATTCTTAACTAATAAGCTAACATGTATGTTAACACTCATCACATTACTGGATCATATTTATATTGACGTTTCTGTTCTCAGTATAATTTAACTATCAACACAATCGTATGTGTTTTGAAAAGGAGGAATCACTGTAAAATTGTTTGTTATTGGTACACTAATCATTTGTTGATTGACTAGTCCAGCCTGCCATTGTAAAGCTCTTTTGCTTACAAGGTAGATAAGGGGTTTATGGTTAAGAATACATACCACTAGAGGGATCTTATTGGAGTCCTAGACTAGTAACCATAACGTGTGACCAGAACTTCATCCACAACAATTTGTGCATCTTCACTTCAATGAGAGCTACTTTGAGCTACTTCCCATATATTCTCTTTTGTGTATATCCCATATTTTTCCACTATCCAAATTACCTCCTAACCCTTTTTACTATTATAGTTATAAATGTTTCACAGAATGCTATATTGTGAAACAGTGCTCTGCTTTTTCTATAAACAATGACATTTCTGAAGCTATAAGAGTCTATGTAAAGAGCCTAGATTGAAGAACCCAATTAGATGTCATATATTTGTTATTTTTAAGTGTCCATATGCTTACAGGAGTGTTGTCATAAAGATGGAAGTTTCATTAGAAGAACGGGTGTTGTTAGCATCTATTCTTGGGAATTAATGACAGCCCTCACAGTTGCACTCATCACTAGTATTCTTCATACTGAATTTATAAGGTCAATTTGAGAATCCTCTTGTGCTTTTTTTTTTAGTTGAATAAATGATTTTGTTAAAGACTAAAAATTGCTGACTGTCTTTCCAATGATGTGTATTGTTTTCACAATACATAGTAATCTCCCAAATTTAACTCAGAAAAAGATGTCCTCAGAAAGTTAGAGTTTTAAAGAGATTGTTTCAAATAAGATATCTCATCAGTAGTATATTTATTTGATATTATATTGATCATTAATTTTCTAAACATTTTTAATATTAACTTTTTTTTCAGCCAAAGGTTAATGTTAAAATCCTGGAAAAACAATTGTTTCTTACAGGGCTGATCCCTTGTCCAACATGGTTCTAACCTTCAGTACCAAAGAAGATGCAGTTGCCTTTGCAGAAAAAAATGGTATGTTTGGTCTGTTTTCATTTTGCTTTGACAAATAAGATCAAGGTATCAAGATATGATTACGTTTTTAACCCTAAAACTTTTCAGGGATATAGAATTTGAGTTAAAAGACATCTTTCAATGTATATAATATGGCTTTTTTTTAGATTTTTTTTTTTTTACAGCATCAGAACACCCCCATCAGAACACAAATAGATAAAGTGCCCATGTAACATGTAAAAGCCAAACTCCTCTAGTTTGAAGTAGAAGCAGGAACTGAAACTACTTGTCTAACTCCTACCATGTTTATGAATCCCTCTGCAAAATCACTAACATTTGGTTTTTAAACTCAAATTGACATCCCATAAGGCAGCCTATCCCAGTTTTGACCACTGTGTTATTCCACCTAATAACTATTTTCAAATCATTAAAAAACTATCATTATTATATTCCCTGTATAATTTCATGTATGTCTAAATGTCTCCATTCACTACTTTCCTAGATATGGTGGGTCTAACACCAAGCATAATCTCAACTCTACAATTAAATTAATACAGACTAAGAGTATACTAGCTTTTGAAGTAGCATACTAAAATTATTAGTTTATGTTGCTCTTACTGTCAACAAAAATGCTTTTTTTTTCTCATTTTCTTCTATTAAGCTATGCAACATAATAGTGAAAGAGGCTTAAACAGAGAGAATGAAGACTTGTGCTTAAGTCTAGAAAATTGATTGAAATAGTGAAGTAACAAAGACACTTACCACCAGAAGAACACAGAGACAAAACACAGTTAATTTGAGTGCTGAGAAGTCTTTATTTAGGCAGAGTACATACTCCAAGAAAGGGGAGAATGGGCATCCTCAGAGAGGAGGCATGCTTAAGGGCTTTGGATTCTATGTTTTAAGGCTTTTAAGAATAGGGCAGAGGGCCGTTGGGGATGTAGGCTTGATATGTGGTCTCATGATGTCTCTCTCCAGGGAGAGACATTATGTCACCATCTGTAGTCTGTCCTCTAGATATTCTGTGAGATAAACCTAACACAAAGGATTTCTTCATCCTGTTCTTCTGCAAGATAGTGTTTACCCTCAAGCAGTGAGAACATATCATTTAGGACTTCTTGTGCTGCCCCAAGACAAGTTAGTTATTGGCTGATTACCATAAAATATCTTAGGAATCTTACCTCTTAACTCCCTGGTTTTTAAAATGGAATCTTAGCCTTAAGATGGAATCCCTTCTATTATACTATTTATATCTTGGCATTTTTCGTCACAGGCAGGAAAACTTAATCATGATGCTTGTCCCATGTCCCTGCCCTACCTTACTATGGACAGTTGAAATTGTGAGGATTAAATGAGTTAATAAAAGTGCTTAGAACATGGTTAAATAAGTATATAATAAATATAAGTTAACATTATTTTATTAGCAGACTTTTAAAATTGTTTAAAAAATATTTTTAAGTGTAATTCCTTATTAACACTTTCTTGGCAATTTCCAAATTTCTTAAATACAGAATTGTTCTCAAATTGGTCTTGAAAACACTATTTGACTTAACATTGCTCTCTTCTTGCGTGTAATGTAGCTTATCAAAACAGTTCTGTTAATGATGGACAAACCTTACAGCTTACCATATTTCACGTCTGATTCCTTAAAAATTATTTGAGGTATCTAATGTGTATTTAACAGCAGGAAATCTGATTACGCTGTTAAATCTCTGGTTTGTATCTAAGTGGTTACAAGGACTGTACCACAACCATTGGCATGCAGATTGCACGTGTGAACTAGCCACTGCTGCCCAGGTGCTTTTCCAATCTAATTACTATCTCCCCTGGAAAGAAAATTGAAGAATATTATCAAAGACAGTAGTATAATTTGAAAAAGCTTAATGGATAGTCAGTCCCTTATAAAACTAGGCTAACAATAGAACAGGAATTTTAACCTATAAGGTAGCAGGAATTATATACCTTTCTTAGTTACTCTTTGTCTCCCAGTACCTAGCACAAAACTTTCTAAAATATAATCCTTTACTCAAGATTTGAAGCCACTCTCATTTCCTGGGAAAGTCCTCACTGATTGCTTGTGATCTACCTCATTTAATATTTAGCATTATATGTCTTTAAAAGATCAGTACTATTTCTATTATAGCTGTCGTGGCAGCCAACTCTAAACAAACACCATTGAAGTGGTATGGAATCCTGGGGTGGAAAATCTTTTCAAAATTGCCCAGCATTCCTCCATTCTGATTTGCCTCTTTTGGGTAAGTGGGTAGTGATGGGGGCATACAAATGGATCCCCTTTCCACCACACATAACATCATTTTGCTGTAAGCTAGGGTTATTGAAGGTTGGGTGAACCAATGTTTGTTCATTCCATCCACTTCACAGGACACCCTGAGCAAGTCATGTTTCAATATACTTAGCCTTTGATCAACATGTTTCATCATTGAAATAAGAAGTTGGGTTGGGTAATGCTCAAAAACTATAGACCTAAGAATGTTAAGCCCATGCACCAGCTCATGTATATCTTTAATTTCTTTACTGTCCAGCCCAGTGCGTTATTCATTACATGCTCTACAGGGGAAAATGTGTTTTTTGTTGATATAACAGTAAAATCTGGCAAAGGCTATTCATTTATGAGCATTAAATGTTTGCCTTTTAGTAATGTCTAGAACAAGGAGGTTAGGGTAAAATTGCCACACACACACAAGAAAAGAGAGTTTGTATCCTGAGGGACTATTCTGAAGAGGAACAACCTGTCATCCTCGTTTGTTTTCTTGTTTCCCTTTTAAATTAAGTTAAAAAAAGAAAAGTCATGACCATTATTTCCCTTTGACATAAAAGATTGTGTTGCAGAAAATAAGGACAATGAGAAACAAAACTTTCAGATTCAGTTCTTCCTAGAAAACATTTTAATTTCTTCTAATTATATTTCAGACCCAGGTCGTGAGCATCATCATCATCATCAGGGCTAACATGCGTAAACACTAAGTCATGAGCTGTCAACTCTGCTAAAATGCTTTAATTTCATTAGAATTTAATCCTCAGTACAATTCTGTGAAGCAGGAACAGTTATCCCCCCTTTTATAATTCAAGGAAACTGAGGTTTTAGAGACATTAAGTAACATTAACTGATAATGTCACTTACCTATATGTGGGTGACCAAGTTTTATTTGAACATAGTCATAATCATTCACTTATGTTTTGTCTATAACTGCTTTTCAGCTATGTAGTAGAATTCAGTAGTTTTAATAGAGATCATCTGGCCCCCAAAGACTAAAAATATTCTCTATTTGGACATATACAGACAATATTTACAGGCAATATTTACTGACCCCTGGTCTAAATCATTATATACAGAGTGCAGAGATCCTTTCTTCTCTGACATTTTTATAAATCCAAAATGCTCTTTATTCAAATATCTTGAAGGATCTATGCTTAATAGGAGATACACTCCTAAAGTAATAATTCAAAGTTCTTCACAGTATAAGCACTAATCTAGCTTTATCTTGCTATGACCCAATTCTGCTTTTCTTCCCTTACCACCTAACCTGCTATATGTGTTTTTCTGTCTACAGCCTTACTCATGCTGTTCCCTTTCTCATCCTTACCCCTGTCTATGGACTCCAACATAATCTTCAAAATATGTTTTAAATGTTATCTCTTTCCTGATTCCTTTTCTTATTTTCTCTCTCCCACTTTTGTAGTCCACCCCAATTGGATGAACTCTTTCTTTTAACTTCCACAGTAATTTGAACAAATTACTCAGTTATTCAAAGAGCTGCCTTACAGCTCTGATTGTATGGTTTTGTATTTTGCTTTTATTTGATTTTTTTTGTATTCTTTTCTCTCAGAAATATGTTGAGCACCCTGTTGTACGGCAGCACTGGTGGCTAGGTTCTGGAGATCAATAGTTAAATAAGGCATAGTCCTGTACTCAAGCTGTACTATTTTATCCTTCCTACTATATTGTAAGCACCTGCCAGAGAAAACACCCAGTCCCATTCATCTTCATTTTATAATGTGCTCAGTAATTATTGGTGAACTTGATCAGTACATTTAGTGATGTTACAAATTAGTCTTCATATCATGTTTTAAACTTTTCCTTTAAATTGCTTTAATTTGGCTACTTGTTCCATCTTTCAGAAGAACTGTTAATTCCCTCTAATTAGAAACCTGAAGAAAATTATGAAATGATTAACAATTTCTTATATCCTAGAGTGTTTATAAATATACAACTGACAAGTATTTTTCTGTCAAGTTAATTGGGAGCTTATCTTGAATTTATTAAGGCTTAGCACCCTGAAGTTTATTCCATTGTACTTAAGATGATCATTTCATTACGTTAAAGTTGTTTCCAAGCTGTAAGTTATTTGTTCTAAGCATTTTTTTTTTATACTGAAAAGTTACTAAGTATACCTAGAGAAGTTACTGAAGCAAGACCAAGTTCAGTCACATAGCTCCTAAACAATAGGGCCCAAGTTTCTAGATTCCAACTCCACTTCTGTGATACTATGCTGCAAGATTTTAAAAATTAATCATTAGATCTGCACTGTTCAATAATGGTAGCTGCATGTGGCTAGGTAGCACTTGAAATATATCTAGTTCAAATTGAGGTGTACTGTAAGTATAAAATAAATACTGAATTTCAAAGACTTAGTATAAAAAACACAAAATAGCTCTAATATTTATTTTGGTTACATATTAAAATAATTTGGGTATATAAAGGGCTAGGAAAATATTAAAATTAATTTCACCTGTTTCTTTTTAGTCATTTTTTTTATGTGGCTACTAGAAATTTAAAATTATATGTATGGTTCACATGTTTCTGTTGGACAGCACTGATCTGTAGTACTTACTAATACAAGATATACATCATATACGATTTTAAGTGTGTCATTAATATATATTCTGTAGTGAATATGTGAAATAGGAAAACCGTATCCAACTTTGAAAAGTTCACATTTTATACTTAAGCCCAGTTCTATTCTTCACTTACCCAGAATGAATTAAGAATAACTAAATGA